CACGTGCTGAGCGGACAATCCATTTCGGAGAGCAGCCGTCGGAGTATTGTTATTAAACAATCAAATTCAACAATCTTACAACACGTGCTGAGCGGACATCCATGCGGAGAGCAGCCGTCGGAGTATTGTTATTAAACAATCAAATTCAACAATCTTACAACACGTGCTGAGCGGACAACCCATTCGGAGAGCAGACGTCGGAGTATTTGTTGGTGAACAATCAGTTCAACAACACATTCATCATCAACTTACGTAACGGACATCATTGAGAAGCAGCCGCGAGAGCAGCGACGGAACGTGGGATTTCATTCACCTGGACAATCAGTTCAACATTCATCGAGTCGACATATCATCATCTAATAATTCAACAACAACGAAGAAAGCAACAGCGCCATTGCAGAAGTCATCGCTCGAGTAAGCTCAAAAATCTCCATTCGATCAATCCTTATCTATAACATCCATTATAATTCAACCGATTCGATTTCGATTATTCTTTTGAAAAATGGCGTTGTCAGAAAATTTAAAAACATTAATTAAAACTCGAACAGCTATTAAAGCAAACGTTACGCGGTTAATAACATATTCAATGCCCACCCGGATGCGGAAATAGATGAAATCAGAACCGCAAAGCAAAATTAGAAGAAGCCTACGAAGCCTTCTCAAAGGCTCAATTACAAATTGAAATTGTAGCAGAGAAGAAAATCAAACAAATATGGATCATGAAACTCAAATATCGCAGTTTGATGATCAATATTTTGCGTGCGCTAAATTAATAAGTATGCGACTTCGCGAAATCAATTCAGTAGAACTGCCGGTAGCTAGCACATCAAATTTAGCTTCGCATTCTTCTTCGCCGATAACTATAAAACAAACCAACAATCTTCTGCCAAAAATAGAGATCCGTCCCTATGATGGAAATCTTGTTAATTGGTACAGTTTTCATGATACCTTCAAAAATTTAGTGCATGATAATGATGAATTGATACCAGTTCACAAATTCTATTTATTGCAAAATGCACTTCAAGGCCCATTAACTTCAATAACGGAAAATTTAAATGCTTCGGAAGAAAATTATTTGGTGGCTTGGAATACTTTAAAACAAAGATGCACCAAACCGCGCCAAATCATTCAAACTCACTTACAATTGTTATTGGAACTTCCAGAAATTTATCGTGAAAACTCCTGCCAATCTACGTTCTTTGGTAGAAAAGGCGCAGGTTCACATAAACGCTTTAAAAGCTTTAAATCAACCGGTTGATCAGTGGGATGCATTACTCGTTTACATAATAGTCAAGAAATTGGATAAGAGCACGCGTCGAGCTTGGGAACGTACGTTAGAGGACGAGGAAATGCCGGCTTTTCAACAATTATTAAAGTTTCTCGGCAAACAAGCACGGGGTGATGAACTCGACACAATTTCCTTTGACACGAATAAATCAAACACACAACATAACAATTGCAATTCAAAAATGCCATATAAAAAACGAGCTAATCACATTCAATCGCACGTAGGTACACAAGTGCAGATTCAATGCCCTATCTGCGGTCAGAATCATGCAATCTACACATGTAGTAAATTTTTACAAACAAATGAAAAGGAACGTTTCGAATTAGCTCGAAAGGCAAAACTATGTCTAAATTGCTTAAAAAATAATCATCAAACAAGCAAATGCTATCTTAATGGTTGTAAGAAATGCAATTACAAGCATAATACGCTTTTGCATTTTAACGAAACACACAAGGCGCGTAATCAGAATTTCATAAACAACACTGTCGAATCAAACATTCAGAATAGAGAAGAACAACCACCAGTAAATCTAGTGGTATCATCCGAGTCGGAAGTATTGTTAGGAACAGCCTACATTAAGATTTTAGATAAGGACAAGAATGAATTTCCGTGTAGAGTACTTTTAGACGGAGGTTCACAAACGCATTTTATAACGGAAAGGTTAGCTGATCGTTTAAGATTAGATAAAACGAGAATAGACTCATCATTTTCAGGGTTTAGGGCAAAATCTAACTAAGGCACAATATACGGTCAAAACAACTATTAAATCTCGAACAACTCCATTTTCATGCGATTTAACCTTAGTAGCTTTACCTAACATAAACTGGTTTATTGCCTTCTCGAAAAATTGACAAGGATAATCTATCTATTCCTAAAAATATTGCGTTAGCTGACCCGAATTTCCATAAATCAGCCGAGATTGATGCTTTACTCGTCAACACTCTATTTATCAATTGTTAAGTGTAGGTCAAATTAAATTGTGCAATAATTCAGTAATATTGCAAAAAACTCGACTTGGATGGATTGTAACAGGAGAAGTTAATCTTTACAATAACCAGTCAAACAAGACAAAACATGTCTTTCACAACTAACCTTGAAAAACAATTAAGTAAATTTTGGGAGATCGAAGAATTGCCTAATAAAAAACACCTTTCTAGCGAAGAGTTAGCATGTGAAACACATTTTATTCAAAATATTGATCGGAATTCGAACAGAAGATATACGGTACGATTGCCATTTAATGAGAAAAGGGATGGTATCGGAGAATCACATAGGATGGCTTTAAAAACGTTTTATTCTCTAGAAAAACGGTTAGAATCGAGTCCAGAATTAAAAAAACAATATAGTGCATTCTTAAAGGAGTATATAGAGTTGAAACATATGACTGACATAACCAATGCAGATGATCTACACATCGGTTATTATTTACCGCATCATGCGGTAATAAAGGAATCAAGCGCGACCACCAAAAATTCGGGTAGTCTTTGATGGATCTGCAAAAAACATCATCCACTCTTTCACTAAACGATACATTAATGCAGGGTCCTACAATTCAAGACGATCTGATTCTATAATTATGCGTTTTCGTACTCATCAATTTGTATTAACTGCCGACATTGAAAAAATGTTCGGCAATTCAAGTAACACCCAGATGATGCAAAATTCCAAAAAATCTTTTGGCGTGAAAATAAAAATGAACCTATCAAAACTTACGCCTTAAACACGGTACTTATGGGACTACTTCAGCTCCATTTCTCGCGGTTCGTTGTTTAAAACATTAATAAAAGACGAAGGACATAAATATCCATTAGCTGCAGCAATACTTGACCGTGATTTTATGTCGATGATCTGCTCACTGGAACAAATGATCTGAATCAAGCCCGGCGTTAATAGATCAGTTAATTAAATTACTAATTAGGAGGTTTTAATTTACGCCAGTGGCTGTCAAATGAGCCAAAGCTTTTTAAAGGAACTAAGAATTCCTCTACATCTCAGCTCGTATGTTTAGACGCCAATGAAACAAAAAAGTTCTCGGAATTCAGTGGGATCCATATACTGATACTATTAGTTATGAAACGTAAAACCTTTGCTGAACAAAGAATGATTTCGAAAAGAACAATTCTGTCCGAAATTGCCCAGCTTTTCGATCCTTTGGGTTATTAGGCCCCGTAATAATTCAGGCTAAACTAATTATGCAGGAACTATGGAAGGCAAACCTAATGTGGGACGAATCAATCCACAATCGTTACATACTGAATGGGTCAATTTTAAAAGGCAGTTACCAATACTAAATAATTTCTCAGTGCTTCATAAGGTTATATTAAATAATTCAGTAGAATTACATTTACATGGCTTTTGTGACGCCAGTGAAAGGGGCTATGGTGCCTGTATTTATCTAAGATCCACTGATAACCTTAATAATCATTTCGTAGGGCTATTATGCGCAAAGTCACGCGTCGCTCCTATCAAAACAATCTCTATACCTAGGTTAGAACTTTGTGCTGCCAAATTATTAGCAAATTTGTATAAATCCGTAGCAGACGCAGTAAACCTACAATTCAGCAAAACTAATTTTTATTCTGACTCAAGTATCACACTAAATTGGATTAAAACATCACCTCATACTTTAAAAACTTTCGAAGCAAACCGTGGTCTCTGAAATTCAAACGCTCACTGATAAAAATAATTGGTATCACATATCAACACACGATAATCCTGCTGATTATATTTCTCGCGGTCAAACTCCTTCAGAGTTTATTCAAAATACATGTTGGATTAATGGACCTACGTGGCTTTCCAAAGATGAATCTCTTTGGAAAATCACGAAAATATCAACGAACCATAATGTTCCGATACGAGGTTGGTTTCGTATCTCGCGATCGCGTCGTGATATCCCGCACGGTGGTGCCCGTCTTCGAGATGGTAAGTCTCGAAGATACCTTCGATCTTGGTAAAACGGTTAGTCGCGACGCGTTGTTCAAGGAATTAACCTGGAAACAATGTTTCTAAGTTGTTACACAGCCATGAACGTTAATGCTGACTAGCCGTACGTTAAGCCTTCGGTCCGAATGCTTGACTCGAAGGGAACAGTCGAAACGTTAAACGAATGAAAAAGGTACTCGAAGTGAACCGTGTGTCTAGAATAGCAGTGAACATGTTAATGCCTCGAATCGCTGATGGAAAGTGATTAGTCGGCGTTGTTCGAACTTCCTCCGCGGCGTTGGAAGTATGGGGAAACACTATGATTGGTGATTTTTGGAAATCAAAAAATCCAATCAACGTGCCCCCTTAGGCATTGCCATCACCCTCTATGCGCCCTTGGCGCGCCTTCTTCTAGGAAAGAGTGGGGCCGATACCTGGTTGTACGCGAATGTTTCGAAATCCGACAATGTCGCGGCTTCCTCTGGGGTTTTTCCCGCTCGAAGGTCGAAGTCCCGTTTTCGACGTACCCTTCGAAGACCGAGTTTATGACCGGCCTGAGCTATTGAGACGAAATGAACGTGAAATTCTAAGTTGATTATACGAAAAGTTAAATGATTATTGCCGGCAATGGAATAAAATGTCTTTTCTCAAAAATAGCTTTACGTCGCGGACCTATCATAAACTGACAACGAAATATTCGCGTATTGTGTTCCTTCGGACGGAACATGCTCCCCCCGTTGAGCGAACGTATCGCTCAAGATTCGATTGGGTCTGTTGGTGAGAGGCCTGGTTATCGTTGGGGAGGTTCCTCGTTTGGAATTGGGAGCAGCGCCAGCTGCTTCACGTTGCGTCGGTAGGTGCCCTGGTTGGTCCGGACGGTGACTGCTCGGATGATGTTGTCCGCTCCTGGATGCACCTCCTCGACTCGTCCGAGATGCCATTGTAGCGGTGGAAGATGATCATCTTTTAAGATGATCAGGGATCCTTCCTTGATCTCGTGCGAACCCTTGATCCACCTTGTTCGCACGTTCAGCTGGTGGATATACTCCTTATGCCATCTGGTCCAGAAGTCCTGCTTGACCTTCTGAATGTGTTGCCAATTTGACAACCGATTGCTGGGAAGATTGCTGAAATCGGTCTCGGGTATGCTCGTTAAAGAAGTGCCAATCAAGAAATGAGCAAGAGTTAACGCGGAGGGATCGTTGGGATCAGATGACACAGGAGTTAATGGACGGGAGTTTAAAATTGCCTCGACTTCGATCGCGAATGTGTTGAACTGTTCGAATGTGAATAGTTCGTCTCCGACCACCCGTTTTACGTGGTGTTTAAAAGATTTGACTGCGGCTTCCCACAGTCCACCGAAATTAGGGGAAAGAGCCGGTATGAAATGCCACGAAACTTCCTTGTCCGCAGAGGAAGCGTTGCACCTTTTCGTCGTTCTCTAGCGTTTGATGTACTTCGGCCATCTCGTTGCTGGCGCCTACGAAGTTGGTGCCATTGTCCGAATATATGTTCCGGCAGATTCCTCTTCGCGCGACGAAACGTTTTAAAGCCGCGATGAAGGCTTCGGTGGTCATATCACCAACGACCTCGAGATGAACGGCCTTCGTCGCGAAGCATATAAAAACGGCCACATAAATTTTAAGGCGATTGCGGTTTCGAAAACGTTTTTCTTTGATGTGGAACGGTCCGCAATAATCGACGCCGCTATTGTAGAATGGTCGACATTCGGAGACGCGTGCCGCAGGTAAGGCGCCCATCAGATAATGCACGGCCGGAGGGTTTACGCGGAGGCCACCTGACACATTGACGAATTATTCGTTTGACCCTGTTTTTGCCGTCAATGGGCCAGTATTGTTGTCGTACGTTCGCCAGCGTAGTGTTGATACCCGAGTGGTGTCCCTCCACGTGGGCTTGACGCAATATCAAATCGGTAATATAATTGTTTTTTGGAAGCAGGATCGGATGCTTCTGGTCGAATGGCACGGTTGCGTTTTGTAGCCGACCGCTGACGCGAAGTAGTCCCTTGTCGTCCAGAAACGGGTGCAATGGCAGAAGACGGCTCTTCGTATGTAATGACCTGCCGGTTTTGAGATCGCGGATTTCTTGATCGAAGGAGGAGGCTTGAACGAGCCTCAAAATCTGTTCGTTGGCGTAGTGGATTTCTTCGGCAGATAGTGTTAATTCTCGACGAGAACCTTTCTTGAATCGGAGACAATATGCGACGATTCTTCGCAATTTGGCGATGTTTGAATACCGATTCAAGATTTCTTCGCTGCGAACGATTGTGGTCGCGAAACATGCGCGCGAACGGGTTTCCGGAACCTCTGAGGTGATGATGAATCGTGACTTGGGCCAATCCGCGACGTTGTTGGCGAGCCATGCTGGTCCGTGACGCCAGAGAGAATCGTTTAAAAATTCTGCAGATGACTGTCCTCGGCGATATCAGATCCGCTGGATTGTCTCCTGATTGGACATGATGCCACACTGCGATGCCCGTTTTCTGTTGGATTTCGGACACTCGATTTGCTACGAACGTTTTTAGCGTGCATGGCTCTTTCCTCAGCCAGCTCAGGACCACTGTCGAATCGGTCCATAACCTCACGGAATCGAAATTGAATGCGTTGATTTCATGAATGGTCGAAAACCAACGACGCGAGGAGTACGGCTCCGCACAGCTCTAATCTTGCGAGGCTGACGACCTTCAAGGGGGGCGACGCGAGACTTTGCGCATAACAACTTCGTTTTAATATGACCGAGTTCGTCGATTGACCAGACGTATAGGCATGCTCCATATGCTCGCTCGCTTGCGTCGCAGAATCCGTGCAATTCTACGGCGTGCATGGCGCGTTGACAGACATGTCGCTCGAATGATGTCCGATTTAGCAGTGGCAACTCCTTGACGTAGGTGGTCAATTCGGTGTGGATGCTGGCTGGTAAGGATTCGTCCCAGGCCAATTGCAGTTGCCATAGTTGCTGCATCAGTAGCTTCGCAGTCGTAATAACAGGTGCCAGCAGACCTAAAGGATCGAATATCTTCGCGATGGTGGACAAGATTGTTCGCTTCGTTACTCTTGTTTCGATATTCGGATCCACCGAGTAGGTGATGTGGTCGTCGCGCGCGTGCCACGAGACGCCGAGAGTCTTGACCGTTGTGTCTCCGAAATATTTGGTGTGTATTTGGGCTACCGGAAGTCCTGTTAGAAGTCGTGGTTCGTTTGAAGCCCACTGCCGAATGTGCAATCCACCCAATTTAAGAAGCCTGATTGTTCGTTCCCGTAGATTTATTGCTTCTGTGTAAGTGTCCGCTCCGGTCAACAAATCGTCTACGTATAGGTCGCGCTGCAGAACGGTTGCCGCGACTGGAGCCTCAACTCTTTCGTCGTCCGCTAACTGTTGAATGCTCCTGATGGCGAGGAACGGTGCGGGAGATAATCCGAACGTGACGGTGTTAAGTTCGTAGGTTTTTATCTTGTCGTCGTTGTCTCGCCACAATATTCGCTGGTACCGACGATCTTCGGGTCTTATGAGAAATTGACGATACATTTTCTCGATGTCTCCGGTCAAGACATGTGTGTCGCGTCGCGAGCCCTCCGTATGACCGTCAAATAACAAACGAGTCCAACTCAGAAAGAGCCTTGTATTTTACCGTCATATACCAAAATTTGTTCTTTCCATACCTGCGCACCAGATGTTTAGCAGTTGTGCGCCAAGCTCGTTACAAACGTTTTTTCCAGCAATTAGGAGTCTAGTTTTATTGCACGCCACGGTCAACCTTCAAGGATACAATAGCACTTTCGCGCGACCCACCGACACAGCCAAAAACAGACAATTTTGGTGACACCCACACCACCCCTTCTTGCAGGGGCTGGCCGTTCACGCCTTACAAAATCTTGTAACCAATCAGTGTTTTTCGCATATTAGTAACCGCCCAAATAAGAACTGTATAAAGAGCGACGCTCGCTCAGAAATAAAGGATTCAACAAGAATTTTGCGGAGCATCAACACAACCGACAAGTATTCATTTTTTCGAGTCACCGCCTTGCATATCCATCATAAGTTTAAATACAGTCCACTTTCAAACATAAAATATTCGCACAAACTTAAGTCGGCGTGCGAAGTACGGGTTTAACTTTCCGAACAACGTCGGTGGAAAATTCGTACACGACATTTGGTCCTTCGGGCCGGATTCCAACGGCAAACACAGAATTGTAGTGCAGTGTGGTGACTACCAAGGAAGATATTCCTTGGACATCATAGACAATTGTCGGTAGTGCAACAGAAGCTCCAACGTTGACACTTACGATCTTAGCCTCTTTGGAGAGGGCAGATCAACAGCAGCACCGTAGGACACTACATCGCCGGTGAAGGAAGTATCCACAAGCAGATAGGGAAGGAGCCGACGGCGCGTTGCTGCCATTGTGACGCTGAGCAGGACACGGCGGAACATACCCTCGAGGTATGCGCTGCATGGGAGGGTGAACGCCGTGTCCTGATCGGCGTCATCGGGCGGGATGTCTCGCTGCCGGGCATGGTGCGCGCCATGCTCGGCAGCGAGGAGAAGTGGAGGGCCGTGGCCTCCTTCTGCGAAATCGTAATGTTGCAGAAGGAGACCGCGGGAAGGGAGCGCGAGCGTCAGCGGCGTGCTGAAGCTCGCGCTCGTTTGGTGGCGAGAGAGCGTCGCCTGGGCGTCAGGCGACGCGGGCGGCCCCCTCGGCGTGGCGCATGACCCAGGCTGGGAGGGGGGTCCTGATAGGAGCCCCCTCCCGCCAGGCGGGGTAGGGTCGGACCGGATGGGGTGGCAGTGCCTCCTGTCCGGCTCCGGCGCACGGAGCGGCACCCTCGGTGGCCTGGTGCGGCCATGAGCTGCCGGCCTCCGAGGGGTGGAAGAGGGGTCGCGGCGGTTGCGAGTTGGGGCTCGCAGCCGCCACTAGACGCGGCCCCGGGACGGATGGCGGCAGGACGATGTGGCCTCGTCCTGCCGCTATGAGACAGGGCGATTTCCGGGGGGACCGTTTGTCCCCCCGCGGGTGGGCGCAAAGCGCGGGCACGGGGAGGATACCGGAAGTATACTGCAAGCGATTCCCGGTATCCTCCCAAATCGTGCGGAAGGGTCACCGTGGGGTTTTTAGTGGGTAGGTCCCGCGCCCGTTATAATGGGCGCGGGGAATCCCACACACCCCTCCCGCCTCTCCCCAAAGAGGTGGGAGGGAGTCTTTCGAAGATTTTACCCACGACAACAAAAAAAAAAAAAAAAAAAAAAAAAAGTATCCACAAGCAGCCGCATTGGACACCTCAGCAGAGGAAGCAGCCGTCGGACGGTGGAACATCCAAGGCCACGCAGCAGCACCGGGTCATCATCGACGAATCGCAGCAACATCGACGCAGCGCAGCATCATCGGTGCATCGCAGCACCATCATCGACGCAACGCAGCATCATCGGTGCATCGCAGCACCATTATCGAGGCATCACAGCATCATCGAGGCAACGCAGCAACATCGAGGCCACGCAGCCTCATCCAGGCATTGCAGCAACGAGCAACAGTTCGAAGTTCAGACGTCGGTAGGGTAAATCCACGAATCACTATTCCTTTCACATATTTTCCCTTATTGCAAGCAGTCACGAACTCGATTACATTCGTTGTTTAATTATCGCGAGATGGCAAACGTATCTGAGACAGTGCCAATGAAAGCCCTCAGGAGACAAAGAATCACGATTAAAGGGCAGCTAACGCGGATAGAGACATACCTCGATGAGGGCGATCAGTTTGACATTCACGAGTTACAAATTCGCAAGGAAAAGATGTTAGAATTGAGTAAAAACTTTGAAACCGTGCAGACAAACATAGAATTAGAGGATGACATATCCGATCATGACGCGGAAAGAGAACAATTCGAGCGGAAATATTTTAGAATCACCAGTAGCATAAACCGTCGAATCGAGGGATTACAAACCCCTAACACAGGTATTAACTCAGGTAGATTCACGGACTCGCCGAACACGGTAACAATAAGACAAGAAAGTAGCCTTTTACCTAAAATCGAAATCAAACCATACGACGGTAACCCTATGGAGTGGCATAGTTTCCACGATACGTTTCGAACACTGGTCCATAATAATGAAGACTTACCGGCCCGTACAAAAATTCCATCTGTTAAAGAATGCACTTCGCGGAGAAATCGCGTCAGTAATTTCAACATTAAACGCATCCGAAACAAACTACCGAGTAGCTTGGGATTTGTTGCAAAAGCGATGTAACAGACCGAGACAAATAGTGCAAACACACTTAAAAACTTTATTCGAATTGCCCGAAGTAACGCGTGATGCATCCTCAAGCCTCAGGTCATTGGCGGAACAGGCTCAAATGCATGTAAACGCACTCGCTACCCTAGGTCAGCCCATAGGAACAATGGGATGCAATGTTAGTTTATCTAGCCGGCAAAAAATTAGATAAGAATACGCGTCGCGGATGGGAACGCACTTTAGAGAATGACGAGATGCCGACATTCGTCCAACTAATTAATTTCATAAATAAACAAGCGCGGGGCGATGAAATTGAAGCGGAAGCTTCAAACGCGAGTAGGCGGGTTTTGTATCCAGATCGTCCACTACGAAATAACCCAATTACAAGGGGGTACACTCACGTCGCGACGACGAATACAGACAAATGCGTCATGTGTAGGGATAAGCATGAAATTTATTATTGTAAGCATTTTTTGCAAGCACCAATTCGGGAGAGATTCGAGGTAATTAAACAAAACAAGCTATGTATTAATTGCTTCCGAAACGGTCATTTAGTCGGCACATGCCAAGCTAGCGGATGCAAAAAATGTAATTTGAAACACAATACCTTACTACATTTTAACGACGAACAGCGGGCTAACATAAACCCTCACAATGCGCGAATAGGAAGTCAGGTAACAAGTTCGGGAGTCAATGCAACAAGCTCGGGGGTCAATACGACTACATTAACAGTTACCTGCAATTTTGAAACCTTACTCGGAATCGCGCAAATTAAATTATTGGACAGATTCAACAAGGAACATGATTGTCGTATTATTAGACGGGGGATCACAAACCCCATTTTATAACCACCGAGTTAGCCGACAAATTGCAATTACGCAAACACAGCGTCAATCTAACCTTCTCAGGTATAGGTCACAGGCGACCAGGGCGCAACACCTTGTAAAAACAGTAGTCAAGGCGCGAAACGGTACATTTTCTACCTCCATTTCATTTATTACTGTACCGTTGATTACCGGGTCACTACCGTCTCGACAAGTCGACAGAACATCGATCGAAATTCCAAAAAACCTCACGTTAGCGAATCCGACATTCCATAAGCCCGGGAAGATAGACGCATTATTAGGTAATACGTTGTTTTTTAATCTATTAAGTAATGGACAAATCAAATTAAATAATAGTAAAATCATCTTACAAAAAACCAGACTAGGTTGGATAGTTACCGGCGAATCAGATCTACAACCATCGTACAAGAACACAGTAAATTCATTTCATACGACATCAACATTAGACAAGACATTAAACAAAATTCTGGGAAGTAGAAGAATTCGCGGATCAGGTATATTTATCGGAAGAAGAAAGGGCTGCGGAAAATTCGTTTGAACAGGGCACCGTACGAGAAGCGGATGGGCAGTGTGCCGTGCAGGGCGTGGCACACAGAATGCTGGGGAAGGATAGTCGTGAAGTCGGGAAAATCACGCGAGACCTGTTGGTTTTACAAACACACCGAGTACCCGGCAAGGGGGTACAACTTTTATTTAAAGTAAAGCAGCTGCGAAGCGTATAGTCGCCGGCATACATACAGTCACGCAGTACCAATGAAAATAAAAAATAGCGTAAACTCAAAACGGCCATATGGTAAATTAACAAATCAATTTCGCGTACAAATCAGAGCCGCGCTACAGGGAGCCGACAAGAGACGGGAAGCAGCCTCGATAGAACGGGAAAGAATTCCCAAACGCGGAGAAATCCCGAGACGGAACACACGTGCTCGGGATTCTTTGGTAAGAAATTCGGTGTTCCTGCGAACGGGGGCCTCGGATACCACGAGACTAATCCCTAAAAGGAACACAGAAGCACCGGACTCACGAGAGGAAAAGGAAGAGCGACGTCCGAATTGGCCTCGGAATGCCACGAGACAAATTCAGATTAGGCCAAAAAGGAGGCTGCAGAACAGAAGGAGCTAACAGGTAGCTGAGTTTGAGCCCCGTTTGGAATAACGCACAGAACCAGTGTGGCCAGATCGGGCATAATTGAGTGCATCGAAATCGACAACAGTGACGACGAACTTCCTTAGCGTCTAACGGAATGGTGGGGATAGCAGGCATACACTACCGCACGATCCACGTGTACGTGAGCTCGGCACTTCGCACAACTTCGGCAAATCGATAAAGAACGCTAGTGTGAGCCTTTCCTTCTTGCTCTTGTAAAAGACAAAACAACTGAAATACGACCTCGCGATAAGTGGCATACGATTCCAAGTCTCGACTGCCCCAGCATTTTTACTTTCCGACCTATATGT